AGTCTACCTGTTTCCGTCTTTTTTGCTATTCCTTTAAAATAGGGAGAAACTGTTACCGTTCAATTGATCAGCATGACTTGTAAGGCAATAATACATTTACGATGTTTTTTATCTTATTTTGACCAAATTGAACCAAAATGACTGCTTATAGCGGAATATCATTTCAATACTACGCTTTAATAGATATATTTATATTTGTTTTTGTCTAAATCGCAGCTAATGCTCCTTTAAGGTGGTATGGGAGAATAAACGAAAAATGATAGAATGTTTTCATACTTTACCAAAATGTATATATTGTACATGTGATGTGTTAAAAAAAATGAAAGGTCACCGAGCTTTTTTTCAAGCTACAAGTTGTGCAAAAATGACACACTTTGTATGGATTATACATGGGAAAACATTATTATATAAATACATATAGTAGGTAAACTAACTGATATACTTGTGAAATAAAATACGAAAAGATATCTCTTAGAAAATGCTTTTAGAATATTGTTGTAAAAGGATTTCGGGCATTATTGAAAATATTTGAAAATTTGAATTAGAACACATTTTCTTAAAGCAAAATTTTATATTTATAGTTTTTATTAACATTAAAAAATAAAAGAGAACGTGTATTTCTTATTAATTTATTAGTGTAGGAAAATACAATTAAAAGAAAATACTCATCGAAATAGATATGATTCATACGAATAAGAAACATTCACTTTGGTACAAGATAATTAACAATAGTACAAAGTCACGCGCACGGAAAGTTAGAGGTTGCAGGATAGATGCATAACGAATTATCATTACATCCAAGGTTAGAACCATATTCACAGAACTATAGATAAGCTTCAGCATAATGAATATTCAGTAATTCATTAAGCCACACCAGAATGTAAACAATGAACAATCAAAAAGCTGAGATAGGATGATTAAATAAATAATATAATAATAAAAAATTAACAGATTTTAATTATCTTTTATTATAAAGATCGGAAGTCCAAATCCTTTCGAAATATAATTTTATTCAAGTTTAGAAATAATAATCTTGATGCTTTTCGTATATAAATAAGTGTATTTTGCATATTTATTCCATCGTTTGCAAAGAGGCTCAGTTTTGCGGGGGGGGGGGGGACGGGGACGAGAATGTCGGGTATTCGATGTAGATAAAAGAAAAAATAATGTTAATCTTTATGATTTATGCACTGAAATTTTATGATGAAATAGAAAAGAATAATTAAAAGATCCTTGTTTCTACTAGCAAATTGAGTTGGCTTATTTATGACATTAAAGAGGTCGGACGGCGCGAGTCCCGCTCTCGCTACCAAGCCAGCCCGAAACAACGACATGTAGTCCCAATATATCTTTCTACCTACAAGAACCGTAGGGGAACTTGACAAACGAGAGAAGGAAAAATGACCATAATGTTTATCAATATAGAAATCCTCAAGTACAATCATAGTCCCATCCGATAGCGACAAGTGGTCCCAATGAGAGGTAATCAACAATTACGACAATAATTCCCGTCACAACAATATCAAAAGAAAACTTGGGGTCACCGTACGTTTTTTCCTGCTATTGCATACACTATAAAATTTCATGTAGATTCCGTTAGAAATCATCCTATTACCAAGTAACCTCCCCTTAATACGCTGATTTAAAAAAAAGAGAGTATTACTACTAAAGTAAAACAAATATAGTCTTGTAAAACTTCATAATAAGTTAAATTATCCCATTTTGTTTTATTAAAATAAAATTCACATTATTTTAATTGCATTTCTGAATCAAATTTTGCTGACTTGACAGTTAATATAGACCTACTTTGATGTGTTCTGCAATTTTACAACCCAAGATGGCGAAAGACCCCCATTCTACCTTAATCACTGTACAATGCTTTATGGTCGCTTGTTTTTCACAATGGTTCTGAAAAAAAATACTTGAATGTTTAGATATATTGATATTCAGTTAAGTTTTATATCCAGTTTAAATCAGCATTCGTGTGTCCTTTAAGTGCAAATTAGTTGCTATATGCAACCTGAGATTACTATAAGACGTGTTATAGAAAGGATTTGTAATAGTAAATCTACTATACAAATCCCTGATCATATTGTCTCAGATGCAACACGCGGCAAATGTAGGAAATTAAATGCATGTAGCTGATATTTATGATACATTTCTGAAAGAATTTCTAAGCATTATAAAAACCTGAAAAATAAAAATAAAAATAGTTGCATTTTTTTTGACATAAGTAACCAGATAAGACATCAATATTCCAATCTTATACAGTGGGCGTTTTTCAATAAAAGTGTGAATTTCAGACCTAAAAAATGGAAAAATCAACTTGTCTAAAATTTTTATTTCAAGAGTTATTTTGAATACCTCTATTATAGACCTGTTTGTAAATGAAAAGTGCAATCTTAAATACTCTTCAAAATGATATTTTTTTGATAATTTATGTACTGTTTCGTAGTGGACATTTGTCCACTACGAAACTGCTTCTAAACCCACTTTTTATGGCATTTTAATGTCTCCTATTGACATTCTAGTTTGTTTTCTTTTATATACTAGAAAGATCTCATTTTTTTCTGAATTGGAGAACCATTTTTTATTGATAAAGATTAGACAGTACTTCACATATGAAGGTACAACTCATGTTACGTAGTGGACATTTTGATGAGTTTCGTAGTTGACAAAAACCGTTTCGTAGTGGACAAAAAGTTTCGTAGTTGACATCAACCCTATTCTATGTTGATAAAAACATATTGAAAATTACATGAAACTAACCCTTGTTATTTGTTTTGCACGAATATAATTGAAAAAAAGAGTAAAAAACGACTGCATAGTAGTGGTAGTGTCCACTACGAAACGTTTTTCTCCCAAACTTGTTTCGTAGTTGACACGGTTACGTAGTGGACATATTCACATGTTTTATTTCCCCTGACAATCCCTATATTGCAATAGTTACAAAAATGATTCTATTCATCAAAGCACATACTAAGCTGTACACTGATATTTTTTTCATAATTTTAAAACCAGATACTGAAGGAGATTTGACTCGTTTCGTAGTGTACATTAGAAAAAATACGGTATCACTCTGGTCCATTTGATGTGCTCAATTTTTTTTTGCAAACAATTTAACTGCCGTTATTAAAGCATCACTTCTTTTGTAAGACCCTAATGTTTATATCCAGTCCATTTCTTGCAAACATTGATTATATAAAACTGTTTATTCGCAAATTTAATGACTTCGTTTCGTAGTAAACATTTTGTCAGGGACACACCTGCTAAAATTAAAAATCATTTGTCAAAAACTGTTTATTAAAATATGTTGGCTCTAAACATACTTTTGAATAATTATAGAACCTATATGAAGTAAAATTAACATTAATTTCTACCTTTTTTTACAATATTTTAGAGTGTGAATGTTGAGTTGGAGACTTAGGGACATGCCATTTTGGTTATTTTTAACCATTCAGGAATGAATATCTTATAAATGTAATTTAATGTACTGACTGCACAAAAAATTACTTGTTAAGACCAAAAACATTTTTTTAAAAGTGGCTGGGACAAGAATTCTCGTTTTTATTGAAAAACGCCCATGTATGATTGTTTTTCTCACTGTCTCCATTATAAAATTTTCCGGAAACTACGTTAAACCGGGTATACTTTGTGTACTTAGTGTTGTTAATCATTTCCGGTGGAAATAACCTTTTGGTTATTGAACTATTTTTAACCACTCTTATTTTAGCGCGCTGCAATATGCATGTAAGTTTAAAAACATTGCCATTATTGACATGATTAATTATAATATAAATATGTTACATAAACATATAGAATAGAGAAATTACTGGGCCAAATTTATTTGTCGTCTATGGCAGATTATTCTTGCATATTTTGTCTGACAGTAGTCCAAATAATTATGACGTCTTGAAAGGCTATTATATTTTTTTTCTTTGACGCCTTACATCGATGTAAGGCGTCAAAGAAAAAAAATATTATAGCCTTCAAGACGTCATAATTATTTGGACTAGTCTGACAGCAGAAGAAAAAATAGTCGCTCACAAACACAAGTATAGTATAACATGTATACGTGTACAAATCCTTGACAAACATGAGAAAGTTTGACATAAAAATTTAATTGTAAATTGGAGAGCTAGTTCAAATAAGAATGGACATCTTTGATTTTTTGTGTGGTTACCATGGTTACATTTGTCATTTCATATTTTCTTTTTTACATCAAGTTGGCTATTTATTTATTTTTTTATCCATGACCGTGTGGACACAAAAAAAATAAAAATAAAAAGCCAAATGATAAAAAGAAAATATGAAATGACAAATGTAACCACACAAGAGACAGATTATTCGGTCTACATAATTATATGGACTACCAGTGAGCATGATTTGCCTTCCAAAATTAATTACGGTTCCATTCAGAATTTGAACCAAAGATACCCAGAACATTTAGACGCTCTACCAACTCAGCCAAAGTAGTACTTTACTAGCACAGTTAATTATATATATAATGGTGGAAGGTTATCAATCTACTAGGTAAGGTAGAAAAAGGTATTCATATTTTTCAAATGTATTCCAACCACTACTATGGACTTCTGCTAGCATGCTCAAAAGATGGCTTTCAGCAGCGCCTTATGCCAAACCATAGATTTAAAAATGTGTCTTTGCTGCTCCACTTATCATGCAGCATTTAGCATGTTTAAGAGTAATACAACAATGTAGCAAAGAGTGGTTGGCTTCTTGACAGAATATTTTACCCAAGTAGGTTGACCTGTACTGGGGGGACTGTGCATATTTGAAATCCAACTCAGGGTATAGATCTGCAAAATGTACTGTACATAAATTTTTAGTACAATTTGTACAAAGCCTGATTTATCTTGATTTAGCACCAACATATTCTTGTCCAGATATGCATGTAATGTTTGCCACTGGAGGTTAAAACCAATCCATCATCATCATCATCATCATCATCATAAAATGTATTTGAATTGATATTTTTACAGAAGTACAGATGCCACTGTTAGCCTTCGATATATATGTAGAATGCCCTCATTCAATCATTCCTATACAGAATAGGAAGTAGATCACCAAGTCAATAGGTATGTGCATTCAACTACATGTATATCATGTATATCTATATTCATAATTTATTCCACATTTTATTTCTTAGTAACATGTTTAACATATTTCTAAGAATTAAACAGGCTCTTATATAGTAGCATACTAGTATTCTCAATATTTCACATATAAATTCAATTATATATATGTATTTCTATTGCACATTATTTTTTGAATCATGCCTATAGATAGCTATATCTTAACATGCTTAAGGTCAAGACAACTGAACATCCAGAATTCCAATCATGCTACATGTGACTAGCATCAAGGATGGGGTAATCGTAATCTGTAATCGCAATCGATTGTAATTGATTACATTTTCCAAAGTTATCAACAGAAATCTGTAATTGTCAACATTTTTGATTACATGTAATTGTGATTTAATTGATTACAGTAAACATTATCATGTAATCATTGATTACTTTTCGATTACATAAATCAATTACTTTATTAATTTAGTTTGATAAAATAGAACCTACTACCTAGTTTAGATGATAATAGACAACTGCATGTATTCTTCATTTTATGGTACAGATTAAATAGAATGTATAAACATTATAAATAGGACTTGAGATTTCTATCAAATTTCTTATTCAGATTTATGTTTGCCTCAAAGCTGCCTTATCATGCTTATGTTCAACCAGATTTACAATTCTTGAAAAAACTTAAAGATCTTTAATATATATATATAGGTCAAAGTACGGCCTTCAACACGGAGCCTTGGCTCACTCCGAACGGCAAGCAAAAGTCAAGTTATGCACTACCAGAGACTTTTAATCCATGTCATTTTATTGGTGCTATCTTCCCATTATTTTTCACTTATATTTCAAAATTATGTCATTTAGTTTGCTTTCTATTTGCATAACAATTTTTTTCCTGTATACTGTAAATTCAGAAATTTCAATAATTGTCTGTCAGAAGTTTTAGAAAAAAATCCTGTAGAGTGGAAACTCCTCTTAATTTTTCGCCAAAATAATAAAATAAAACTTTTTACCTGCTTGCAAACCTTTTAAAATTTCCTAAGTGTTTGGGGAAACCAATATTCAATTTTCAATGGCCTTACAAAATGCGTTAATTTTTTCACAACCTGTATATGAAAATCGATCTCAATAACCTATGATTTTTATTATATATATTTTAAAAAAGCATGATCTAAACTACATTTTGGCAAAGTCAGAAAAATTCTGTCATATTTTTTTTCATCCCCATAATACTATACTGTCACATGAATGTACCAGAAATTTTTCAGTAGTTGTGGTCACATCAACTTGAAAATTAGAACACATGTTCATTGTCAATTTTAAAAATTAATGCCAAATTAGGAGAAGTTGACGGTTCACAATGAATTTATGACTGCATCAACTTGGTAATATGATAATCATGACTATGTGAGCAGTGCTTGGTGTCCTATGGGCTAAATGTTATTATAAATGCATGGTAAAATGTCAGTTAATATCTAGGCTTCGAAGAAAATACTCTACTAAGAATCCTTAATTTTTCAGACATAAATATATATGAAAGATAATCTGGTAACCGGACAATCTTTCATTATATGCAAAGAAGAAGGTGAATTCAAGACAATGATGAACAAAAATATACACTTCCGTGCTGTGGTTTACCGTCCACACTTTCATCAAGTAGGTACCCACGAACACAACTATTTATTTGTGATGGCATGTACATTTGTATAATTAACACTATATCATGTTATATATCATCTATCTATATTATATATAATAATTTAGTTGTAGATTTATATTGTTAAGTTATTACCCCCCCTTCCCCCCCCCAAAAAAAAAAAAAAAAAAATGGTTTCCTGCCTTTTGATGAAATTGATTAGACAGAGATATATAGTTTGTTAAACATTTTTTGACTTCTAGGCTATATAGAGAAAAGATTTGGACTAAAATGGCGCTTAACCCAAACTGTCTGGGCTTGGACTGCTTGTTTAACTAAAAATGTCAATAAAATGTGTATCCATTCTAAGGCATGAATATTTGGGTACAATGTAGAAGGGAGAAAGGAAACGGAACTCTATCTATTTGGTCTTACAGGTGATATTGTTACGTAGGATACTGTGTTTCATGTGCATAAGAGCATGTACATCGATCATGTAAGCTACTGTATGATATTTTATCAACTTATAATATATTTAGTATTTCAGTATTATACTTGAAATACTCTATGAATATTTTGTTTGTTTTGGTCACTTAAGTCATGTACATGATGTACAATCGATACATTCATAATTAATTAAATTCGGAATTTTGGGTCCTCAGTGCTCTTATTGAACATGATTTAATTGTCCTTTTACAGTTTTGGAATTGAGTGTCAATGATGAGTCTTTCGTAGACAAAATGCATGTCTGACTTGCAAAATTATAAACCTGGTATCTTTGATAATTCTATTTTTCCAGCTTGTAACGTCATATATGTACAAGAACACACTTTCTTGAAAATCACTGTTACCATTTTTACTGCAGTAAAACAGGTCGCTTGCTTGCTGGTTATTTGTAGTGAAAACTCTATGAATTATGAGATGCATTAAATTGGTGCAAATATGTTTTTGCTTCAAGGGAATATCTTTTGTTGGACAGGAGTGTCTTTTTGTTTGACAGAAATTTCTGAGCATGTGCAAATACAGAAAGCATGTGTAAATCACAATTGAAATAACTCTTAATGCATCCAAAGCTCTTTTCTGGATAAATTTTACCTTCAAAAGTAACGATCAAAGCCAAATATGTACATGACCCGAAACAAGATTTAAAATGAAGAGATATATGAGCAAAAGGAACCTGAAAATAATAGCCAGATCCATCTACAGTCAACTTTCGTAAGATAGTTGGAACCGTAGTTTCTAAATATTAAATTTCATGATTTATAAACGGACAATTTTAGCAAGGTATGTAATAATCATGTCTGTACCCAATGCTTTACAAATGAAACAAACACCATTAATTGTATGTGTCCTAAGCGCTTTTATGGATTAACCTTTACCAGGAACGCTCAAGGCCAAACATTTGAAAGCCAAAGATGTATATGACCCGAAACACGTTAAGAGCAATATAACCCAAGGTCAAGTTTGCGTGAGGAGGTTGGAACGTTAGTGTCAGTCATTAATTTGCCGAATTTATCAATCGTTTGTTGATGGTTTGTATGAACGCATAACTGAAACCAAGGAAAAGGGTATTTAAAGATTTAATAAAATTCACAATTTAGAGCTTCCCACGTTCAGTTGTATGGACAATTGTCCAATTATTTTAATTAAGTCTCCTAAACGAAGTTTGGGAAGACTTATTGTTTTTGCTCAGTTCTTATTATTATTATTATTATTCTTCTTCTTCTTCTTCTTCTTCTTCCTCTTCCGCCGCTTTTAAATTTGAACTTGTCCGCACCCGTTCTCCAAAACCGCTTGTCAGATTAACTTAGGGTTTCACAATATGTTAGACTAACATGTCTAGTGGTGCAATCAGGGTTTTGTTTGTGCAATGGGGTTTATAAATTCGTACTTTGAGGGGCAAAAAGAAAAGAGGGTTTTACTATAGAACCTTATGGGATTTTATTTTTTTAAATTTTCAAATGATTATAAATTGAAAACCGTTTGTGATAAACACAATCTTTTTAATTGAAAATGTTCTAAATGATAAAGCCCATTAAATGAAATACAGGGTTAGTCCCCAGGGGTCACCCCCACCCCCTGCCATTTAAGAAAGTTCTAATACCTTGTAAGTGGTCAAGATCCCCACCCCTAAACCATATATATTCTGGTTTGTCATGCTAAAATGGTTTGAATGATATACAGGGTTAGTCCCCAGGGGTCATCCCGACCCCCTGCCATTTGAGAAAGTTCTAATATCTTGTAAATGGTCGAGATCCCCACCCCTAAACCATATATATTCTGGTTTGTCATGCCAAGATGGTTTGAATGATATACAGGGTTAGTCCCCAGGGGTCATCCCAACCCCCTGCCATTTGAGAAAGTTCTAATATCTTGTAAATGGTCGAGATCCCCGTCCCTAAACCATATATATTCTGGTTTGTCACGATAAAGCACATCAAATGAAATAAAGGGTTAGTCCCCAGGGGTCACCCCCACCCCCTGCCATTTAAAAAAGTTCAATATCTTGTAAGTGGTCAAGATCCCCATCCCTAAACCATATATATTCTGGTTTGTCATGCTAAGATGGTTTGAATGATATACAGGGTTAGTCCCTAGGGGTCATCCCGACCCCCTGCCATTTGAGAAAGTTCTAATATCTTGTAAATGGTTGAGATCCCCACCCCTAAACCATATATATTCCTATTTGTCATGTCTCGAACATTTGAATGATGTATACGGTCAGTCCCCAGGGGTTCCCCCCACCCCCAATGTTCTAATATCTTGTAAATGGTTGAGATCCCCACCCCTAAACCATATATATTCCTGTTCGTCATGTAACGAACATTTGAAGGACGTATAGGGTCAGTCCCCAGGGGTTCCCCCCACCCCCAATGTTCTAGTATCTTGTAAATGGTCGAGATCCCCACCCCTAAACCATATATATTCTGGTTTGTCATGCCAAGATGGTTTGAATGATATACAGGGTTAGTCCCCAGGCATCACTAATGCATATAACTTTACTGGACCAAACCAATTTTCACTGGACGTTGCCCAATGTCAGGCGACCCTGGGAATTACGAATTATGGGAGCTTCGTTTGGGAGACTTCGTAACAGCATCCTGTTACAATCATTTCTTGTTTTGTCATTGGGTTGCTGTCTCAGTAACATGTACCCCACATCTTCTTTTATTGATATTAACTTAAAATTTTATTGTGCATTATTATTTTGTTAACAGACGACTCTAGTGCACAAAAGTTGATACTGTTCAATATCAAACCTTGAATGAATCACAATCACACAGGGTAATGAATCACAATCACACAGGGTATTGAATCACCATCACGCAGGGTAATGAATCACCATCACACAGGGTAATGAATTACCATCATGCAGGGTAATGAATCACCATCACACAGGGTAACGAATCACCATCACACACGTTAATAACTGGCGATTGAATTTTATCTTATGGGATAAACAACAAGAAATGAGCTGTCAAATTGACAGCAAACCGGGTTTTCTGTATTTTGAAGGCACTTTCAGGCTTGTTTAAATCTGCCACATTCTGTGCCTACTTTCCAATCTATCATGGACCATAAATCCTGAACAGCAAAAATGAAAATCATCAATTTGAAATTGACCTCCATTATGTCAACAAATCAAAATTGATTATTACACGGAAACGACAATAAAGTGTAATTAAAAAAGATATCAAGGACCATAATTACTCCTGAACTGTAAACATGGTAACAGTGAAAATCGTCAATTTTGAAGTTGACCTCCATTTTGTAATCACTTTCAAAAGCATTGGTTGAACGGATCACAAGTTATTGCCCGTTTCCGACATACAGTGCCATTTTGAAATATTTCAGGGACCATAACTCTTGAACGGAAAATGTGAAAATTTTCAAGATCGAAATTGACCTCCATTTTGTAATCTCTAACAACATATTCAAATATAAAAAGCATTCGTTGAACGATTCATAAGTTATTTCCCGGAAACGACATAAAGTGTCATTTTCCAATATGTTAAGGACCATAACTCCTGAACGGGAAAAGTGAAAATCGTTAATATCGATCTTGATCTCCATTTTGTAATGACTCACACATTGAAATTTGCAAAGCATTGGTTAATGGTTCAAAAATCATTGCACGGAAACGACATAAAATGTCATTTCCCAACATACCAAGGACTATAACTCCTGAACGGTAAAAGTGAAAATATTCAATATCGAATTTGACCTCCCTTTTGTAATCACTAACATATTTAATACTGGTATCTATGATGAGTTTATTGAAAGCATAATCATTGGTTGAACGGTTCATAAATTATTGCACGGAAACCTTTGATCCCTATTCAAGGCAATATACCCACTAAGAATTAAAAATTATCACAAAGCAACGAGTTCTTCATTTCATTTCCGTACACGTACTTCATCGTAACCATATTGACAAGCTCTTAATAACTTACATTTCACATATTGTTATCTAAATATGTATGCACACATTAAGTTCAAAATCCGACATGCAAGTCAAAAAGATAGCAATCCAACAACACGAGTTTTATAGAAGACATCATAAGGGTCAACCAAAGTTGCTCATGATATACGAGAAATTTCACTCGATTGCGTATTTCTTCTCACAGACTAAGAATTGAACAAGGTCGCTATCAGGGTACTCTCCGACAAGAGAGAATATGTCTCAGGTGCACCTCAAATGAAGTTGATGATGAAAAACATTTTTTTATTTTCATGTACATCATCTCAAGATAAGAGAAATTGTTTAAATTCAACTATTAACTCACTATGCCCAAACTTTACGCATTCGATTCCTAGCCAAAAACTGATATGGCTTCTTAATGTAGAGAATCTTGATATCTTGATATCTGTCTGTGAGTTAGAGTTGATGAAGACAAAATATAACTTGCAGTGGCGGATCCAGAAATGTTTATAAAGGGGGGGGGGCACTGACTGCCTAAGAGGGGTCGTTCTAGTCATGCTTCAGTGATTCCCTATATAATCAACAAAAAATTTCCAA